GGCTTCGGTGGCTCCGCCTGAGCCAGCCGGTCCTCGGACAGTCTGGCCAGCTCGGCCAGGACATCAGGTTCGGGAGCCTCCAACAGTGACCGTAAATGGCCGCACTCCTCCGGGGTTAATAGCTCGGCCAAGCGGACGGCGGCATGAGGGCCCATGGCATCCAAGGCCCCCGCAGGAGCCGGCGCCCAACCCCACAACGCCAGGACCAGGGCCGCCGAGAGAGTGGGTGAGGCCATCTTCAACAGGGACGCAGGGCCCCCCCGAGCTGTGGGGGAGGGGCTCCGAACACCCAGGCCCCGTGGGGGAGGGGTTTCTGAACGCCAAGGATTGTGGGGCAACTTGCTTGCTACCTTCTGGGATGGAAAGGAGGATGGGGCTCCCAGAACACTGGAAGGGAGGAAGAGATGTTTACACTCCCGGACAGGAGAAGGGGGCCTCCCAACGCCCAGAAGTGGTGGTGGGGGTTCCCAATAGACTGCAAGAGCAAGTTTCCCAATACCCAGGGATTTGGTGGGGTCCTCAGACCCTCTGAGGAAGCTAGGATCCTGTCAACACTGAAATGCCTGTCTGGTGTCCCGTGCCTCACTCACCACTCTTCTCAACTCACTGACACCCCCACTTCCCAGCCTCCCCAGAGGCCTGAACTCCTTGCAAAACTCAGTCAATTCCAAATGTCTGCGACCTCTATACTAACACCAATTCCCAAGCACAGTGGCCCTATAGAGGGTCTTCTAGACTGCAATTCTTTACTGAAGCGGACAACCTCATTTTTCCAAGGCCATGTGGCTGGTAGGTTTGAACCAGTGACCAACCAGTTAGCAGTCCAATGGTTACCTGACAGCACCACCTCCATCATTTCCCGTCTTCCCACGCCTAATACAAATCTGCATCCTCTTTGGATTAGATAAGGTAAATTACCCCTCCCATACCACTGTGGCCCACTTACTAACCTTGCTGTTTCTGCAAGCAGGCACGAAGCATGGGGCTGGCTCTCTCCTTTGGACTTTGCATGTTAGGTCTCATTAAAGCCCTCCCTGATTCCCACATCTCTCTCCTGTCTTACCCAAGGAAGGCTCCACTCCGCTGGGCTGCCTTTCTACTGTCTCTCCCGTAAGACTGCTAAGACCGTCTACCGTCCCCATACCAATTAGTGCACAATAGGTGTTCAGTAAAGACTTGTTGGACCCGTGTGTACGCATCCTTAACTGGTCATCCAGGTGCCATCCACAGCCACCTCACTCCCTTATGCCCCTCCCCCCAGGCTTCATACTGGCCACCCACCCTCTAACAGGCTGTTAAACCCTGGTGGGCTGGTCCCGGCAGGCCCCCCAAGCCTCTTCTCCCCACTCCTGCCCTCCATCACCCCTGTCACCAGTCACTGCTTGTGGCAGGGCCCCACAGCTCCATGTTGTTTCCAACCTCCATTGCTGGGGAAGGGGTGCGGGGCGGGCTGTTTCACCGACACCACCACCACCACGAGGTGGGTTCTTGTGGAGGGCAGCCTTGCAATTCTTGTGCATCAGCTTTCTGGGCACTTCACCTAGAAAGGAATTGTCCTGGGGCGAAGGCATAGTGGTTAGGTTAGGCTGCTCACCGCAAGGTCAGCAGTTCAAAACCATCAGCCCAACTGTGTTCTCCTCCAGTGGTGTTCCTGTCTCGGAAACTCACGGGGCAGTTCTACCCTGTCCTACAGGGTCACTGCGAGTGGGAACTGTCTGGATGTCATTGAGTTTCTGGTCCTTTAGGCCTCAGAGTGGGCACACCAAGATGGGGCACCTGCCCCACCCATGCCCCTGAAACTAGGTCTGTATCCTCAGTGCCACTGTGTCAGCAGGCTCCTTGGTGGTGGTTGGTTCTGTGTGCTGGCGACACCCCCCTGCCCCGCCACCGCCTCCCTGTGCAAAGCAGGGTTGTCAAGGCCACGATCGATAGTTTGGAAGCAGATCTCCAAAGCAGAGGAATGGGATGGGGAGCCAGTTTGCGGGACCCTGGGTGGTGCCTCAAGCCCCCCACCCCCCTCTCCAGGCAGACCATTAAGACTCTGTCCTTGTTCTGCCTCTTAAGAGCCTGTAGCACCCTATCAGGAAGGCTTAGGGCACCCAGTGCCCCCCATTTCAAGGGGTTTCCTTAGAGTAAGGCTGTGGGTCTGAGCCTCCCTCTGGGGCCTCCCGCTCCCTCAGTCCCAGGTCCTTCCTCCCTTTCCAGTTCCTGCTGAGCTGTCATGGAGAGACCAGGGACCAGCAGATGGTGGACAAAGGAGCTCCGTGTCACCTTAAAGGAAGGGTTCAGCTCCACACTGTTTCCTGCCCACTTCCCCTCCGCCCAAGGATACATCCAACTGGGGCTGGGCGAGCCCTCCCTCCGTCCCTCACCCTGGGAGCCTGTTTTTTTGCCCCTCCCGCTGCAGGGCACTGAGCCCTCCTGGTCCAGGGTTGTCAGAGCCCTGGAAGCGTGGCTTTTCACTCGGTGGCCTGGGTGCCCAGAGTGAGAGGAGGGGCTCTGGGATAACTTTAGTTCTGAAGGAACGACTCCCCACCCCAACCCTGGGGCCCCGAGAGCCTAGATGCCCAAGGACACACGCCCCCCCTGTAGAGCTCCCCACATCCAAGGTCCCCAAGAAATTCTCTGGAGACCACATGTCATCACTTTAATACTGTGTCATACTTTCTTTTAAAATACAGTCTCTTCTGAGGTAGACAGACCACAACGGCAGAGCATCGTCAGACAGGAGATAAATACGTCCATGTACAACACGCAGCAAAATGAGGTAGAAATGGTTACATCTGGAGAAGGGGACCCCAAA